TTGAGCAACACCATGTGAGCCCAGTACCCACGGTACTAATTTTTTTACTATACTGTATTAGTAACTCATAATCAAGTCGTGTGTATTGTGTGTATTGTATGTTTTGAAATGAAAAGTCAGACTAGAATGGACTGAATCACATGTCAAAAATATGAAATGGGCATACATAGACTAATACAAAGGAAATAAGTATGTGTCTAGTGGCCGAGTCACGGGACAAGGTTATGCTTTTTTGTTATTCAAATAAATGTATAGTGGAAATAATTATCCCATTAAAAGTTCAGTGGGATCAGAGACATATAGAAATATGTTTTATATGTCTCTGGTGGGATAAAGAGAATGCCTCTGTCTGTCTGGGCAATAATTCAAATACCATTGGCCTGATATTGTTTATGCTATTTTAAGTATTTTTGCTGTTGCTCAAAAAGTTGTAGACAGATTTTTGATATTATATGTGAATAATTAGAAGCATGACACAGGCCATCCAACTGGCCTGCATTTTGCGTATTTGTCACACATTAGCTGAAGAAATTGAAGTCACGCCATCTTTTTTTGTGTGACAGAATATGTCACTCAAATACGCATTTTACCTGATAATTGTCATGAAAAAATATTTCTTTAGAAAAAAAAACAAACGCTGAAGAAAAATAAATGCATTTCGCTTGGAAATTTCACAGGAATGCCGTATATGTCACGCATTTACCTCGAAAAAAGATAAAGATAAAACGATTTTGTTAAAGTTTTATGTTTGAAACAATACACATTTTCTTTTGGCAATTTGCCTTAAGCTCAATATGTTAGCCCTTTTGAAAAAGGATGCCATTTGTACATGTTTATTTTACATTTTTTGTCAGAAGTTAAACAGTTCTAGAATGATTATGTTAATATATACATGTATATATAAATATTTAATGGGATTTGCTACAACATGGCTGGTTTATATTACTATATCCAAATTACACTTAAAAATTGGCTGAATGTCTCTTCTATACTAGTCTTGGCTATATCCATATTTTCTAGAAGTCAGTCAATTGATGTTGGCTTGATAGTCCTATATGGTCATATCTAAGCAATTGCATTTTTATCGATCAGAAATAGCTTTGTGAGTTGATGATCACGAAATCTCATCAAAAAATGGGTAGTTTTTGAGGTCTGGATGTATAGAATTTGTGCTAAGACTTGTCCAAAGCATGCACTGGCTCCCATTATGGCATGGCATATGGTAGAAGAAGGGACCTAACTGCCTCTTATTTTGTTCATTTTGTCATTTCACTATTAGTAATAGCCTTTTTGAGTTAATAATCAAGAAATCTCATCCAGAATGTGTAGTAATTGAGGTTTCCATGTGTAGAATTTCATTTCAAATCAGTGTGAGCACACTTCATCTATACCATACTATAGGCAATAGGCATGGTATATGCTAGGAGGAACTTTAAATTATACTCATCATTTTGATTGATTGTCTATTTTCACTATAAAGAATAGCCTTTATGAGTTGATAATGAAGAAATGTTTTCCAGAATATAAGAGTTCTTGGGATCAATCACCATGCAACATGTAGAATTGTGTTAAATAGTCTATGGTATGGTAGAAGAAGTGCCCAATGGCTCATATTTCTTTTAATTGTCTTTTTATTTCACATTTGGAAAGAAGTCTTTGTGGGGTGATGACTATAAAGAAATGTTAACAACAAATGGATGATTTTAGGATTTGATGTAGGCTGGTACAGAAATATTGTGATATAGATTGTCTATAAAGTATTTATCCTCTGACTGTGAGCATACATGATGTATGACAGAATTAAGAAAGTACTTCATTGCTCATAATTCTTTCTAATTTACACTTCACTAATATTAGAAAGCATTCTTAAGTTGTAAGTAAGAAAGCTGGTCTAGAATGGGTGATTTTTGAGGACTTCACATAATAATTTTGTTAAAATTATCTCAAACATGTATTGGCTGCCTGAATATGTTAGACGAAGAGACTTAATTGCTCACATTATTTCTCCTATGTCTCCAGTCTTTTTTGACCACTAGAACTAGCTTCTTTGGTATCTGATAATCAAGAGATCTTATCCACAATGGCTGTTTTTAACGGGATTTATAATAGAAGTTTGTTTTGAATTGTCTAAAGCAGGACATTTGCTGCCTGGCATGCATGACACTGTCTGTATAAGCCTATAGACATCATGAATGGTATATATTTTATGGTAGAATAAGGGACTTGATTGCTCATATTCCTACCCATTCCAGTTGTCTATACTACTTTTACTATTAGAAATAGCCTAGCCTTTTTGAGTGATGAGGAAGAAACATTAACAAAATAGGGAATATTTGAGGGATTGATACGTTGAACCTTGTTAAAATTGCATAAGTGATGAAGTAGGACATGTAGAAGATGGGCATTCATAGGCTAATTCTATTCCTATCAGAAGTGACTTAGCTATGTGAAGTTGTTGCAGAATCGTGGAAAAATTCAGTGATAGCCATTCCCGAAGACAATACAAGCACAATTTGAAAGAGACCCTAGATAACACACTAGACATGCACACAACTATTCATAATTATCTAAATTTCTCTTTTGTAAGATAATGGTGGTCCTGAGAAGGACCTTGTGGTTGTTGTTTGAAGTTGTCGCCGCTTATGCTTTGCTGGCCTTGCTCTTCTTGGGGAGAAGTACAGCCTGGATGTTGGGGAGGACACCTCCTGGGCGATGGTGACACCTCCGAGAAGTTTGTTCAATTCCTCGTCGTTGCGGACAGCCAACTGAAGATGACGGGGGATGATTCTGCTTTTCTTGTTGTCACGGGCAGCGTTACCGGCCAACTCCAAGATCTCAGCAGCTAAGTACTCGAGAACGGCAGCCAAGTAGACTGGGGCACCAGCTCCCACACGCTTGGCGTAGTTTCCTTTGCGAAGAAGACGATGGATTCTTCCAACTGGGAACTGAAGTCCAGCCCTGGTGGATCGGCTCTTTGCCTTTCCCTTTGCTTTTCCTCCTTTACCGCGTCCAGACATGATCGATTGTGTGATTGCTTCGAAAGTTCAAAGTAAAATGATCGAAAAAATCCAAATTCCCTTTTATACTCCTAGAGTGGATTCAGACTGCAGAAAAACTGGCCACTCGCGAAGCTGGTATCTCGCTATTGGTTGAATTTTAGAGCGCTTAAAAATCGGCCAATCAGCGACGACTAGTATCGTTGAAAGTCGAGTTTTTCTGCAGCCAGAATCCACTAATTTGCATACGGTTTTCATATAAATACATTTCGCTCCGACCTGGCCATTTATTACTCGAGAAATCTCAGTACTTCAAAATGGCACCCAAAGCAGCAAGCAAAGGAAGCAAGAAGGCGGTCAAGTCTAAAAGACCAGCCGGAGGAGACAAGAAACGCCGAAGGAAGAGGAGAGAATCCTACAGCATCTACGTGTACAAAGTCATGAAGCAAGTGCACCCCGACACTGGAATTTCCAGCAAGGCCATGAGCATCATGAACAGCTTCGTCAACGACATCTTCGAGCGTATCGCCGGGGAAGCATCTCGTCTCGCCCACTACAACAAGCGATCCACCATCACCAGCAGAGAGGTACAGACCGCCGTACGTCTCCTTTTGCCCGGTGAGTGGCTAAGCACGCCGTCAGCGAGGGCACCAAAGCCGTCACCAAGTACACCAGCTCCAAATAAACTGTCTCAGTTTATACCTAAAACACAAGGTCCTCTCAGGACCACCTTTTACTTACAAAAGAGATATTAGCATTTATGAATTATTATTATTTATCTATAGGCTAAGAGGCCGAAGTAGGCCTATCATATTATTATTATTTTGTCACGTCCGTCTGGAATAGCGTTATGAAGGCTTATGTGTGCTGGGACCAACACAAAAAGATGTTAGTCCCAGGTGTGTGTGTGTGTGAATGAGGAAATATGTAGGCCTATGTTTGGCATGCCCCGACATCAGTTTTCACTGATAGGTCTCAATATAGCCCAGGACTAGTATGCTTACAATATATTGCTCGCGACAGTGTCTATGTTTATTTCATTGATATTTCACTTTAGTTTAAAAGCCCCTGTAGCCTACCCCGACTCAGAAATTCACAAACTAATATTCCGACTTATACTGTCGTGTGAATGATTCTTTTAGCCCGGTTCACCCATTTTTCTTGGGTAGGCCTATCGTCGGAAAGCTATCGTTGCTAGCTGGATGGGGGTGCCATCAATTTAGAAATCCGTTAAGAAACAACGGAGCTAGAGACGGAAAACCAGTGACATTTCTAAAAGTCAGTTTAGAGTCGAAAAGGTGGATTGGCGCTGCAGGAAACCGACCAATCAGAATGCTAGATTTCTCAGTATTCTTAAGTGAATCTTCAGATTCTCAGAAACGACTTCACGCTCGAATTTCACCTATCTATCGCTAACGGATCGCTTTGACATTGATACCATCGGGAAGCTGGTATCGCCAGCTTCACGGTGACATTATTCTCTCAGAAATCGACCGAGAAACGGCGGAGAAAATGACCGATAAGTGCCATTTCTAAAACGTCGAGTTTGGAGACCTAAAAGTGGATTGGCGCTGCAGGAAAGTCGACCAATCAGAACGCAGCATTTCTTATGTGAAACTTGAAATTCGAGAAATCGTCTTTACCCTCAATTTTAGCCATTTTTTCGCAATCTGACCACTACCAAAGTGGTACCATCAGAAAGCTATCGTTACTAGCTAAAGGGTGGTCTTATTTATTTAGAAATCCACCGACAGACGGTTGAGTTATGGACCGATACGTGCCATTTCTTAAACAGCCAGTTTAGATCAGAAAAGTGGATTCAGACTGCAACAACTTTTCGACTCGGCTATGCAAATTAGCTCGTTCGCGTATCTAGGTCACTAGGTCACAAATTTAGGTTAGTAGGTTTGTTCTGTCAAGGCCGCGCGTGTTTCGGTATATAATCAAATCTCGGTCTAATCGACTTCATTATTCGACTGAAAAGCTCGTAGTAAACACAGAATCATGTCTGGCCGTGGCAAAGGAGGAAAAGGATTGGGAAAGGGAGGCGCTAAGCGTCACAGGAAAGTGTTGAGGGATAACATCCAGGGAATCACCAAGCCCGCTATCCGCCGTCTCGCACGTCGTGGTGGTGTAAAGAGAATCTCCGGATTGATCTACGAAGAGACCAGAGGTGTACTCAAGGTTTTCTTGGAGAACGTCATCCGTGATGCCGTCACATACACTGAGCACGCCAAGAGAAAGACCGTCACCGCCATGGACGTCGTCTACGCTCTGAAGAGACAAGGCCGTACTCTGTACGGATTCGGAGGTTAAACAACCCATCGACAACAACAAACACAAGGTCCTTCTCAGGACCACCTTTCTTACAAGGGAGAAATTTTTAAGTTTATGAATAGAGCTCTAACATTAAAATTAGATCTACGACTTGTTTGTGTGTGTGTGTGTGTATTGTAACTTACTATGTATGGATGTGAATGAATGATATTTGAAATGGTAGATCGTAGAGCTACTTTGACTGCCTGCCTGCAAATGCATAGCCCAGTTATAATGCCCAGGTCAAAATGTATTATAATAGGGTTTATGTGTTAGATGTTCATAGTCTGATAGCCTCTATATTGTCTTCCCCGTAGAATCAGGTGAACAGTCCCGTCAAATGCTGGATATCTGGCCGATGAATGCGTGTTGAAAGACTAATAACGTTCAGTTGAAAATTACCCCCTACATGCATTTTCTCGAAAACACACGGTCGCTTTGAACGCCGTTTTTCACCTAAAGTTCGACGTCTGATCTCCGTAAATCATATCTTATTAGATAGAACTTTCAATTATCTTCAAGATGAGTACCGACATGGCGACGTTAGTCTTTAGGAAATGAGGAAAATTAGCAATTTTCTAAGAGTGGTAGGGCAAAAAATCATTTTCGTTTCAACATTTTGTTTTGCGACACTTTGGCCTAAAAAGTGGATTCAGGCTGCAGAGAAATCACAAATGTTAGTCGCTTGTGATTGGCCCAAAAAAGCGCCTTCTCCTAATGAACCAATCGCGCAATAGCCCGCCCAGAAAGTAACCAATCAGCGAAGACCAGTATAGTCGGACCCTAGCCCATATACCGGTGGCAATTTTTACATCGGAATTAACCGTTTCTCAGTCAATCTAAGAAGCTCGTATCAAAATGGCTCGTACAAAGCAGACAGCACGTAAATCTACTGGTGGAAAGGCACCAAGGAAGCAGTTGGCTACCAAGGCCGCCCGTAAGAGCGCCCCAGCCACCGGAGGAGTCAAGAAACCTCACAGGTACAGGCCAGGAACAGTCGCTCTCCGTGAGATCCGTCGTTACCAGAAGTCCACCGAACTTCTCATCAGGAAACTGCCATTCCAGCGTTTAGTCCGTGAGATCGCCCAGGACTTCAAGACCGACCTGAGATTCCAGAGCTCCGCCGTCATGGCCCTACAAGAGGCTTCAGAGGCTTACTTGGTTGGCCTTTTCGAGGACACCAACTTGTGCGCCATCCACGCCAAGCGTGTGACCATCATGCCCAAGGACATCCAACTGGCCCGTCGTATCCGTGGAGAACGTGCCTAAGAAGCCGACTTCTCTCAACACACACAAGGTCCTTCTCAGGACCACCTTTTACTTTCAAAAGAGACATAGATGTTTATGAATTAATTGTAGCCTAAGCTTGCCGTTGTGTGATTGTGTACCGTGTGTGTGTTTGTGGTTTGAAAATTATAAACTTAATTCACAGGCTATAACGAGAGTTATAGAAAGCAACCTAAATATCCGTCTAGCATTCTTATCTGCCCTAGTTGTCAAGATGTTTCAAAGATCAAGGCTAGGTTAGAGGAACAGTGGTTGTGCTAGGCTGCCCGATTGTGTTATGATAGACAGTTGTTCTTGCATGTGGTAGGGTATGCACATTCGTGATGCTTTAATCAATAGTTATGATACGCGATGCACTGCCACTGATGTACGTGCCAGCGATTCCATGACACACCATGGTGCAATGTGGGGGGGGGAGAGATGGTTGGTTCGATGTTACAATAACTATCATGTTGATGTTTTGGCTGCCTTAAAGTACATTTTCGATTTACCTGACATCTTTCTTTAAAGAGTGAAGCTCACTATTATTACAGGGAATCAACCAGGCTGTTGGATGCAGATGGATGGCTTGGGGAAGTTTTGTCAGGAGTTTGATTGTTTTTACCTGTTTGTCTTGTGAATGAACAGCATACAACAAGATTAATTATTAGGTCTAGACCCAAACAAACAATAGGCAAACAATGTAGTGACAAGGCAGTTTAATTTGAGCTGAATGTCTCTTCTTATACTAGTCTTGGCTATATCCATATTTCTAGAAGTCAGTCAATTGATGTTGGCTTGATAGTCACTATATGGTCATATCTAAGCAATTGCATGTTTTATCGATCAGAAATAGTCTTTGTGAGTTGATGATCACGAAATCTCATCAAAAAATGGGTAGTTTTTGAGGTCTGGATGTATAGAATTGTGCTAAGACTTGTCCAAAGCATGCACTGGCTCCCAGTATGGCATGGCATATGGTAGAAGAAGGGACCTAACTGCTCTTATTTATGTTCATTTGTCTATTTTCACTATTAGGAATAGCCTTTTTGAGTTAATAATCAAGAAATCTCATCCAGAATGTGTAGTAATTGAGGTTTCCATGTGTAGAATTTCATTTCAAATCAGTGTGAGCACACTTCATCTATACCAATACTATAGGCAATAGGCATGGTATATGCTAGGAGGAACTTTAAATTATACTCATCATTTGGATTGATTGTCTATTTTCACTATAAAGAATAGCCTTTATGAGTTGATAATGAAGAAATGTTTTCCAGAATGATAAGAAGTTCTTGAGGATTCAATCACCATGCAACAAGTGTAGAATTGTGTTTAAATAGTCTATGGTATGGTAGAAGAAGTGACCCAATGGCTCATATTTCTTTTAAATTGTCTTTTTATTTCACAATTTGGAAAGAAGTCTTTGTGGGGTGATGACTATAAAGAAATGTTAACACTAAATGGATGGATTTTAGGATTTGATGTAGGCTGGCTACAGAATAATATTGTGATATAGATTGTCTATAAAGTATTTATCCTCTGACTGTGAGCATACATGATGTATGACAGAATTAAGAAAGTACTTCATTGCTCATAATTCTTCTAATTTTACACTTCACTAATATTAGAAAAGCATTCTTAAGTTGGTAAGTAAGAAAGCTGGTCTAGAATGGGTGATTTTTGAGGACTTCACATAAAGAATTTTGTTAAAATTATCTCAAACATGTATTGGCTGCCTGAATATGTTAGACGAAGAGACTTAATTGCTCACATTATTTCTCCTATTTCTCCAGTCTTTTTTGACCACTAGAAATAGCTTCTTTGGTATCTGATAATCAAGAGATCTTATCCACAATGGCTGTTTTTAACGGGATTTATAAATAGAAGTTTGTTTTGAATTGTCTAAAGCAGGACATTTGCTGCCTGGCATGCATGACACTGTCTGTATAAGCCTATAGACATCATGAATGGTATATATTTTATGGTAGAATAAGGGACTTGATTGCTCATATTCCTACCCATTCCAGTTGTCTATACTACTTTTACTATTAGAAATAGCCTAGCCTTTTGAGTTGATGAGGAAGAAACATTAACAAAATAGGGAATATTTGAGGGATTGATACGTTGAACCTTGTTAAAATTGCATAAGTGATGAAGTAGGACATGTAGAAGATGGGCATTCATAGGCTAATTCTATTCCCTATCAGAAGTGACTTAGCTATGTGAAGTTGTTGCAGAATCGTGGAAAAATTCAGTGATAGCCATTCCCGAAGACAATACAAGCACAATTTGAAAGAGACCCTAGATAAACACACTAGACATGCACACAACTATTCATAATTATCTAAATTTCTCTTTTGTAAGATAATGGTGGTCCTGAGAAGGACCTTGTGGTTGTTGTTTGAAGTTGTCGCCGCTTATGCTTTGCTGGCCTTGCTCTTCTTGGGGAGAAGTACAGCCTGGATGTTGGGGAGGACACCTCCTTGGGCGATGGTGACACCTCCGAGAAGTTTGTTCAATTCCTCGTCGTTGCGGACAGCCAACTGAAGATGACGGGGGATGATTCTGCTTTTCTTGTTGTCACGGGCAGCGTTACCGGCCAACTCCAAGATCTCAGCAGCTAAGTACTCGAGAACGGCAGCCAAGTAGACTGGGGCACCAGCTCCCACACGCTTGGCGTAGTTTCCTTTGCGAAGAAGACGATGGATTCTTCCAACTGGGAACTGAAGTCCAGCCCTGGTGGATCGGCTCTTTGCCTTTCCCTTTGCTTTTCCTCCTTTACCGCGTCCAGACATGATCGATTGTGTGATTGCTTCGAAAGTTCAAAGTAAAATGATCGAAAAAATCCAAATTCCCTTTTATACTCCTAGAGTGGATTCAGACTGCAGAAAAACTGGCCACTTCGCGAAGCTGGTATCTCGCTATTGGTTGAATTTTAGAGCGCTTAAAAATCGGCCAATCAGCGACGACTAGTATCGTTGAAAGTCGAGTTTTTTCTGCAGCCAGAATCCACTAATTTGCATACGGTTTTCATATAAATACATTTCGCTCCGACCTGGCCATTTATTACTCGAGAAATCTCAGTACTTCAAAATGGCACCCAAAGCAGCAAGCAAAGGAAGCAAGAAGGCGGTCAAGTCTAAAAGACCAGCCGGAGGAGACAAGAAACGCCGAAGGAAGAGGAGAGAATCCTACAGCATCTACGTGTACAAAGTCATGAAGCAAGTGCACCCCGACACTGGAATTTCCAGCAAGGCCATGAGCATCATGAACAGCTTCGTCAACGACATCTTCGAGCGTATCGCCGGGGAAGCATCTCGTCTCGCCCACTACAACAAGCGATCCACCATCACCAGCAGAGAGGTACAGACCGCCGTACGTCTCCTTTTGCCCGGTGAGTTGGCTAAGCACGCCGTCAGCGAGGGCACCAAAGCCGTCACCAAGTACACCAGCTCCAAATAAACTGTCTCAGTTTATACCTAAAACACAAGGTCCTTCTCAGGACCACCTTTTACTTACAAAGAGATATTAGCATTTATGAATTATTATTATTTATCTATAGGCTAAGAGGCCGAAGTAGGCCTATCATATTATTATTATTTTGTCACGTCCGTTCTGGAATAGCGTTATGAAGGCTTATGTGTGCTGGGACCAACACAAAAGATGTTAGTCCCAGGTGTGTGTGTGTGTGAATGAGGAAAATATGTAGGCCTATGTTTGGCATGCCCCGACATCAGTTTTCACTGATAGGTCTCAATATAGCCCAGGACTAGTATGCTTACAATATATTGCTCGCGACAGTGTCTATGTTTATTTCATTGATATTTCACTTTAGTTTAAAAGCCCCTGTAGCCTACCCCGACTCAGAAATTCACAAACTAATATTCCGACTTATACTGTCGTGTGAATGATTCTTTTAGCCCGGTTCACCCATTTTTCTTGGGTAGGCCTATCGTCGGAAAGCTATCGTTGCTAGCTGGATGGGGGTGCCATCAATTTAGAAATCCGTTAAGAAACAACGGAGCTAGAGACGGAAAACCAGTGACATTTCTAAAAAGTCAGTTTAGAGTCGAAAAGGTGGATTGGCGCTGCAGGAAAACCGACCAATCAGAATGCTAGATTTCTCAGTATTTCTTAAGTGAATCTTCAGATTCTCAGAAACGACTTCACGCTCGAATTTCACCTATCTATCGCTAACGGATCGCTTTGACATTGATACCATCGGGAAGCTGGTATCGCCAGCTTCACGGTGACATTATTCTCTCAGAAATCGACCGAGAAACGGCGGAGAAAATGACCGATAAGTGCCATTTCTAAACGTCGAGTTTGGAGACCTAAAAGTGGATTGGCGCTGCAGGAAAGTCGACCAATCAGAACGCAGCATTTCTTATGTGAAACTTGAAATTCGAGAAATCGTCTTTACCCTCAATTTTAGCCATTTTTTCGCAATCTGACCACTACCAAAGTGGTACCATCAGAAAGCTATCGTTACTAGCTAAAGGGTGGTCTTATTTATTTAGAAATCCACCGACAGACGGTTGAGTTATGGACCGATACGTGCCATTTCTTAAACAGCCAGTTTAGATCAGAAAAGTGGATTCAGACTGCAACAACTTTTCGACTCGGCTATGCAAATTAGCTCGTTCGCGTATCTAGGTCACTAGGTCACAAATTTAGGTTAGTAGGTTTGTTCTGTCAAGGCCGCGCGTGTTTCGGTATATAATCAAATCTCGGTCTAATCGACTTCATTATTCGACTGAAAAGCTCGTAGTAAACACAGAATCATGTCTGGCCGTGGCAAAGGAGGAAAAGGATTGGGAAAGGGAGGCGCTAAGCGTCACAGGAAAGTGTTGAGGGATAACATCCAGGGAATCACCAAGCCCGCTATCCGCCGTCTCGCACGTCGTGGTGGTGTAAAGAGAATCTCCGGATTGATCTACGAAGAGACCAGAGGTGTACTCAAGGTTTTCTTGGAGAACGTCATCCGTGATGCCGTCACATACACTGAGCACGCCAAGAGAAAGACCGTCACCGCCATGGACGTCGTCTACGCTCTGAAGAGACAAGGCCGTACTCTGTACGGATTCGGAGGTTAAACAACCCATCGACAACAACAAACACAAGGTCCTTCTCAGGACCACCTTTTCTTACAAGGGAGAAATTTTTAAGTTTATGAATAGAGCTCTAACATTAAAATTAGATCTACGACTTGTTTGTGTGTGTGTGTGTGTATTGTAACTTACTATGTATGGATGTGAATGAATGATATTTGAAATGGTAGATCGTAGAGCTACTTTGACTGCCTGCCTGCAAATGCATAGCCCAGTTATAATGCCCAGGTCAAAATGTATTATAATAGGGTTTATGTGTTAGATGTTCATAGTCTGATAGCCTCTATATTGTCTTCCCCGTAGAATCAGGTGAACAGTCCCGTCAAATGCTGGATATCTGGCCGATGAATGCGTGTTGAAAGACTAATAACGTTCAGTTGAAAATTACCCCCTACATGCATTTTCTCGAAAACACACGGTCGCTTTGAACGCCGTTTTTCACCTAAAGTTCGACGTCTGATCTCCGTAAATCATATCTTATTAGATAGAACTTTCAATTATCTTCAAGATGAGTACCGACATGGCGACGTTAGTCTTTAGGAAATGAGGAAAATTAGCAATTTTCTAAGAGTGGTAGGGCAAAAAATCATTTTCGTTTCAACATTTTGTTTTGCGACACTTTGGCCTAAAAAGTGGATTCAGGCTGCAGAGAAATCACAAATGTTAGTCGCTTGTGATTGGCCCAAAAAGCGCCTTCTCCTAATGAACCAATCGCGCAATAGCCCGCCCAGAAAGTAACCAATCAGCGAAGACCAGTATAGTCGGACCCTAGCCCATATACCGGTGGCAATTTTTACATCGGAATTAACCGTTTCTCAGTCAATCTAAGAAGCTCGTATCAAAATGGCTCGTACAAAGCAGACAGCACGTAAATCTACTGGTGGAAAGGCACCAAGGAAGCAGTTGGCTACCAAGGCCGCCCGTAAGAGCGCCCCAGCCACCGGAGGAGTCAAGAAACCTCACAGGTACAGGCCAGGAACAGTCGCTCTCCGTGAGATCCGTCGTTACCAGAAGTCCACCGAACTTCTCATCAGGAAACTGCCATTCCAGCGTTTAGTCCGTGAGATCGCCCAGGACTTCAAGACCGACCTGAGATTCCAGAGCTCCGCCGTCATGGCCCTACAAGAGGCTTCAGAGGCTTACTTGGTTGGCCTTTTCGAGGACACCAACTTGTGCGCCATCCACGCCAAGCGTGTGACCATCATGCCCAAGGACATCCAACTGGCCCGTCGTATCCGTGGAGAACGTGCCTAAGAAGCCGACTTCTCTCAACACACACAAGGTCCTTCTCAGGACCACCTTTTACTTTCAAAAGAGACATAGATGTTTATGAATTAATTGTAGCCTAAGCTTGCCGTTGTGTGATTGTGTACCGTGTGTGTGTTTGTGGTTTGAAAATTATAAACTTAATTCACAGGCTATAACGAGAGTTATAGAAGCAACCTAAATATCCGTCTAGCATTCTTATCTGCCCTAGTTGTCAAGATGTTTCAAAGATCAAGGCTAGGTTAGAGGAACAGTGGTTGTGCTAGGCTGCCCGATTGTGTTATGATAGACAGTTGTTCTTGCATGTGGTAGGGTATGCACATTCGTGATGCTTTAATCAATAGTTATGATACGCGATGCACTGCCACTGATGTACGTGCCAGCGATTCCATGACACACCATGGTGCAATGTGGGGGGGGGGAGAGATGGTTGGTTCGATGTTACAATAACTATCATGTTGATGTTTTGGCTGCCTTAAAGTACATTTTCGATTTACCTGACATCTTTCTTTAAAGAGTGAAGCTCACTATTATTACAGGGAATCAACCAGGCTGTTGGATGCAGATGGATGGCTTGGGGAAGTTTTGTCAGGAGTTTGATTGTTTTTACCTGTTTGTCTTGTGAATGAACAGCATACAACAAGATTAATTATTAGGTCTAGACCCAAACAAACAATAGGCAAACAATGTAGTGACAAGGCAGTTTAATTTGAGCTGAATGTCTCTTCTTATACTAGTCTTGGCTATATCCATATTTCTAGAAGTCAGTCAATTGATGTTGGCTTGATAGTCACTATATGGTCATATCTAAGCAATTGCATGTTTTATCGATCAGAAATAGTCTTTGTGAGTTGATGATCACGAAATCTCATCAAAAAATGGGTAGTTTTTGAGGTCTGGATGTATAGAATTGTGCTAAGACTTGTCCAAAGCATGCACTGGCTCCCAGTATGGCATGGCATATGGTAGAAGAAGGGACCTAACTGCTCTTATTTATGTTCATTTGTCTATTTTCACTATTAGGAATAGCCTTTTTGAGTTAATAATCAAGAAATCTCATCCAGAATGTGTAGTAATTGAGGTTTCCATGTGTAGAATTTCATTTCAAATCAGTGTGAGCACACTTCATCTATACCAATACTATAGGCAATAGGCATGGTATATGCTAGGAGGAACTTTAAATTATACTCATCATTTGGATTGATTGTCTATTTTCACTATAAAGAATAGCCTTTATGAGTTGATAATGAAGAAATGTTTTCCAGAATGATAAGAAGTTCTTGAGGATTCAATCACCATGCAACAAGTGTAGAATTGTGTTTAAATAGTCTATGGTATGGTAGAAGAAGTGACCCAATGGCTCATATTTCTTTTAAATTGTCTTTTTATTTCACAATTTGGAAAGAAGTCTTTGTGGGGTGATGACTATAAAGAAATGTTAACACTAAATGGATGGATTTTAGGATTTGATGTAGGCTGGCTACAGAATAATATTGTGATATAGATTGTCTATAAAGTATTTATCCTCTGACTGTGAGCATACATGATGTATGACAGAATTAAGAAAGTACTTCATTGCTCATAATTCTTTCTAATTTTACACTTCACTAATATTAGAAAAGCATTCTTAAGTTGGTAAGTAAGAAAGCTGGTCTAGAATGGGTGATTTTTGAGGACTTCACATAAAGAATTTTGTTAAAATTATCTCAAACATGTATTGGCTGCCTGAATATGTTAGACGAAGAGACTTAATTGCTCACATTATTTCTCCTATTTCTCCAGTCTTTTTTGACCACTAGAAATAGCTTCTTTGGTATCTGATAATCAAGAGATCTTATCCACAATGGCTGTTTTTAACGGGATTTATAAATAGAAGTTTGTTTTGAATTGTCTAAAGCAGGACATTTGCTGCCTGGCATGCATGACACTGTCTGTATAAGCCTATAGACATCATGAATGGTATATATTTTATGGTAGAATAAGGGACTTGATTGCTCATATTCCTACCCATTCCAGTTGTCTATACTACTTTTACTATTAGAAATAGCCTAGCCTTTTGAGTTGATGAGGAAGAAACATTAA